GTGGCTCTGAGCACAGGGGAGGCCCTGACCATTGCAACCAGATCCTCAGAGAAGGTTAATCCCATGTAAAGTGTTGCATGGTGTAAATTAATTTCAAGCCCTTCTATTGTGACGGTGGGGCTGGGGAGGTTTATGTAGATGTCATGTAGGTTTTGTTGTTGCAATATTAACAGCCTGTGAGTTTTTTGTTTTGTTTTGTTCCGACTCCATTTGCACATCACTTCTGTACATCATCACTTCCAGAGATCATCTGCATAAATCCACATATAGAGAATGGAAGGCAAGTTCTTGGTCAAGGACTTATCTTCGCACCTGGGCAAATGGTGACATTTCAGTGTCACAATGGTTACAGCCTGCAAGGCAGTGCTAGAATCTTCTGCCAGGAGGATGGCAGCTGGCACCCTCCTGTTCCCGTCTGCAGTAGACTGTACCATTACCAGCAGTTCTCAAACAGGCCTGAACTTCCAGGTAAATCGTGACGTAGCTGCCTTGGGGTACACTATTTTATGTCCCCTAACCCCATTAAAAAAATGTGGTTAAACCCTGTGGGTGGAAGATTTGAGTATATCCTGGGAATAAGAACCTGATCCTCTGGAATCCTTTGGGAAAATAAGTTGTGTTTGTTTAATAATGGCTATATTAATTAAAATAAACAATTTTGCAAGGCAAACCAAACACCTTTCTCATAACAGTGTTCTTTCTGTGCTTGCACCCAGCAAGCCTGTCCTGCCTGATTCTCACGTCTGTTTTCTTTTTCAATAGGTGGTTGTGGTGCTCCTACAAGGTTACGCTTTGCTGAGCTAAATGAGGAGCATAAAAATGAGATTGATTTTTCTGTTGGGAAGACTGTGCAATACACTTGCCGCCCTGGATACGCTAAACACCCAGAAATGTCACCTACTATTACATGCCTTGAGAGCGGAGTGTGGTCAGAAGCACTAGAGTTCTGTAAAAGTGAATAGCTCCTTGATTTGGTGTCTGTTATTCAAGAAGGAATAGGTGCTAGGTTCTGTCCATGCTGCAAAAACCTGAACCTTATTCTGGTGTTCAAATAGTATGTGACTAGTAAAGCCATGTAACTTTATGCTATTCAAAACCCGTTTTGGGGGTAACTGGAAATGTGGACAGATTACTGGACTAACAGTCGCATCTGTTGTGCTGTGGTATAGACAGAGAGAAGCCTAAAATGAGGTTTTCTTCTCCCCCAGGGAAACAATGCAGTCATCCTGGTGAACCCGTGAATGGGAAAATCATCTCCCTAACAGATGTCCTGTTTGGGTCAACAGTGCTCTACGGCTGTGAAGAAGGGTAAGTCCTGGTTTTGGCAACTGCTTAAAACAGCAAGGAGAGATGTATTAGGTAAGTCTCCCTTTTTTCCTCCTATTCATTCATTCCCGATAAATGGATTATATACAGAAGCCACTCTATAGAGTTCTGCACCTGTATGAACACATAAGGTGTTCCCTATCTTATGTGTACATGTATATACTGTGAAATCGGTAAGGTGGTGCTGAGCGAGGAAGGAAACTTCTTCAGGGCCAGAGCTTTGCTGACAGCGGGGCTGATCACGCCTTCCGGGGTGGCGAGGAGGAGGTAGTAACTTACACTGAAATGACTTGGGATGAACGCTCAATCCTTTTAACACCAGGCACAGGTTAATTGGACAATCCAGCAGACGGTGTGAGATTTCTGGTGGACATGTTGCATGGAGTGGTGACATTCCCATTTGTCAGCGTAAGTAGCCGACAGCTCCGGGGGGGTTTGCATGGATCCGGTAAATATTTTCCAGCAGAGACTGCCAAATCTTTCCAATCAAAGCTTTCACAGGGAATTTCTCTGCTCTGTGGGCATGAAAAATATCAGAAGGTTTTGATGTCAAACGAAAATGTTCTGGGAAAAGGTACAAGATCTCAAAGCTTAATGGATTATAGAAAGCAATGTCTCAGCTGGAGCTTTTTCAGCAGTGCTTGGGTATCCTGTCTCTGACTAACATCACAAGCGCATTACAAGAGAGGAAGGGAAAATATTATCTTCTGCTTAAGGGTTGTTATTGTTAGACACAGAGAGACCAAGGCACAACCCTCAGAAGAGGCAGAGCGCTGTGGGAGGGCCAGAAGTGGAATCCCAAAGTCCCAAACCGCAGGCTCTCTCTTTCACTATGAGCACGGATAACTGATGTGTACCCAAAGAGCTGCCGTGCCGCACCTCAGCAATTACACCTGAGTGTTTCTCTGCTGATTAACTACTGTTGCTGATTAGGTGACAGTTTCATATAAGTAAGAAACATTTACTGGCACGTTCTGGTGTTTTAAAGCATTTTACAGGTTCTCCAGGTACATATTAACCTAAGGTGACATAGGTTAATTTCAAATTTCTGCCTGTGCGTGCCTTTGCACTGTGTGCAGCTGAAAAATCAGGATTTTACACAGGCGATACAAAAGAAATACCTGCTTTTTTATTTCTTAAACAGTAGAAAAGATAAAGCAGGTAGGTGTTTCCTCCATAGAGGTTTGTCTCACTGGTCTGCTTTCTGTCATAGAAATAGCTGACCAGGGACATGGGATCCAGTTTGCCTACAAGGCCTCATCTAGAAGGTCACTTCATTGCAGTTACTCCATCTCTAGGACAAGTGTTTATGCCCCACAGACTGAGGGATTTAAAGTACTTTGGTGCTGCTGTTGAATTTAGAAGCCTTGTTCTGCACCTCTGCAGGTATCCCTTGTGAGCCGCCTCCGGACATTCCCAATGGGAAGCACACGGGCAGGCTGCTGGATGAATTCCACTTCGGCACATCTGTAACATACACCTGCAACCCCGGGTACCCGCTCCGCGGAGAGCCCTCCATCTACTGCACCACCGAGGATGGGAAAAACGGCGTCTGGAGCGGGCCACCCCCGCAGTGCGGAGGTAGGGTTGTGCGTGCACATCCTAATACTCGGGTGCAATCCTCCCTGCCCTACTGCTTCGTGTTCGGAAAGCCTAGGAAACCTCCAGACAATTGCACTTCTTGCCCGAGTGCCTGCTAGGGCAGGATTTGCACGGGCTGATTTGCAGCTGTGGCCAGGCAGAGGGGAGGAGGCTGGAGGACCACCCCACTGCCTCCAGCATCCCCAGCCTCACCTTTCGGTTTGGGTCTCTCCCTCAATGTTTGCCATCTCTGGATGCAGGCAGTACATCATCTATGGGAAAATTACTTTCAGACTTGTGTCTTAAAAGGGATTGCAACTCTTAAGTGGCTTTGCAGCTGCACAGCTCTGCACACTGCGTGTTTTGAGGACCCGCACTTCTTTTCCAGAGGCAAGATGTCCTGTCCCACAGGTCAAGAATGGGAGAATAGTGTCTCCTAGGACTGCCTACACACACAAGGATACCATTGCCTTTGAGTGTGAGCCAGGCTATGTTCTACACGGCCAGAGTGTGGTACAGTGCCAACTAAATAACACCTGGGAGCCACCCGTGCCAGTGTGCGAGCAGGGCAAGTGTTCCAACAGTGCTCTGAATGTTAACCTTTCTCCTGCTCTCCCAGATCTGCTTTTTCTTGACTCCTTTAACAACTGGGCTGGCTTATCTTTCTTGGTAGCTGGCTGCAATGCACCTACCAGACTGGCGTTTGCTGAGCTGAAGGAGCCGTACAGCAACCAGACCATCTTTCCCGTGGGGAGGAAGGTGGAATACGTGTGCTGGCCTGGGTACACCTGGCACCCGGGCATGCCGCCGGCCATCACATGCCTCAGGAATCGGACATGGTCTCCAGCGCAGGAGTTCTGTAAAAGTATGTCCTGCAAGTGCTGAAAAACCTAAAGTGTCAGGCTTGGCTGGATTTTCACATTTTTCTGGCATTATGGGTTTCTTTACTTTATGTGGTCCGCTCTCTGTGTTGGCATCCCTGGGTGCCGACCCAGGGATGGGTGGGATGTGAGTGAGCAGCTGAGGGCTAATGGTGGCTCATGTTCCCTTCCAGGGAAACAATGTGCTAACCCAGGGGATCCGGAGAATGGCAGAGCTGTTGTCCTGACGGACCTCCTCTTCGGGTCCAAAGTGAATTACACTTGTAACGAGGGGTGAGTCTTGTGACTAGCTGAATTCAGCTGCCAGGTGAGAGTAAAGCAGATTTTTAGCTTTACATGAAGGAACGTAGTTCCCAAGTCAGAAGTCTTGGCTGCCAGTTAGAAGGGTTGTAAAGAAATCTCAAGTCTCCTAATGTAAATTAATAAATCCTTCTGTGTGACTCCAGGTACAAGCTGGTTGGAGGCTCTCAGAGAACATGCGAGGTCTCTGGCACACATGTCTCGTGGAGTGGAGATGCTCCTGTCTGCCAGCGTAAGTAGGCCACAACAAAAGGCCTTTGGAGATGGCTTGCAAGAGACAGTGGCACATCTTTCAAGACAAAGATTTTATTGCAAAAGATTTCTCAAGTCACTCAACGTGTCAAATCTTCAATTTTTCTTTTCATTTTGTTTTGGTTTGGATGTTTCTGAAAATGTTTCCAAAGGTCTTTCATTTATCCTGGTCCAAACTGGGAAAACCATTAATATTTTAAACTCCCTGTTACTGGGGTAAGTATTTCTCACTGGTCATGTGTAGGAATGGCGTGGCCAGTCTCTCTCTGCATGTGTCACCAATGGTTATGGAAAGGGAGGTAAGAATTGTCCCACCAGCTCCAGACATGGGCAGCAAGGAAGTGACTCACAGGAGGGCGCACGTTTTCCTTCCCACGTGTGATTTTTTTCCATACAAGGTTTGTCTCTGGATAATTTGGGTCATTGTATCCGGAGAGCATCACCGCTGAGACGGGTTCATCCCCATCGGTTCCCTTCCTGGGAAGCGTGTGTGTCCTGCAGACCCCAGGTGCTGCTGCGGCACTGATGCTAACAGCCACCTTGTACGCGCCCACAGGTATCACCTGCGATCCGCCTCCGGACATCCCCCACGGGAGACACAGCGGGCACTTGACGGGCACCTTCTCCTACGCGGACGTGGTCATCTACACCTGCGACTCCGGCCACCCGCTGGCTGGAGAGCCCTCCATCTTCTGCACCACGGTGGACGGGGAGCACGGCGTGTGGAGCGGGCCACCGCCGCGGTGCGGAGGTAGGGCTCTGTGGTGCACGGGCATCCGTCCCCGCTGGCGAGACTTGGTTGTGAGTGGCAGAAGGAATGACCATGGCTGCGGTGGGGGCTGCACCCACTGATAGGAAGTCAGCTAACATGACAGATATTTATTGAAAGGAGTTAATGGAATTAATTGTCTTCATCCTTTGGTTTTTAAAAGTTGGATTTTTAATTTTTTTTTTCTTGCCTTGTCCATATTTCTTACCTGCCTTTCCTTCTCCTTCACAGAGGTGAAGTGTCCTCCCCCTCCAGGCATCGCCAACGGGAATCACAGCGGCCAGTCCTTGGACACCCACCTTCCAGGCTCGGCTGTGCAGTACACCTGCAGGGATGGCTACTCCCTCATCGGGAACGCCTCCATCAGCTGTACCGCCAAGGGGACATGGAGCCGGCCCCGGCCCCGCTGTGAAGGTGTGTGTGTGTGTGTTGATTTCTTTTACCCTTCCCCGGGTCCTTTCTTCCTTCTTGGCTCTCGGTCTGATCGCTGCAGACCAAATCTCCAGTAAGAGGCAGAGGCCAAAGATCCCACAGGCAGGAGGAGCCCCACCTGCCTCTGTGGATTTCTCTTTCTGCCCCCCAGTGAGGACAGGCTACAAGTGCAGTTGAATAATGATATTTTGTGTAAGGATAAGAGTCAATGATGTTGACATGCCCATGACAGTGATGGCAAGGATCGGCAGCAGGCAGCAGTGCCCCTCCGCACCCGGGATGGGCTTCGCGTCCCCAGCGGTGCCTTGTGCTCTTCACTTCCAGCAACCGGCTGCAAAAGACCAGAGATCGCAAACGGAAGAACGACTGGGCTGGAGACCATGTACAGACTCGCAGACATCATTGTCTTCGAATGCGATTTTGGTTACGCCTTGAAGGGCTCTCAAGAGTCTCAGTGCCAGTTTGGGGGCACATGGGACCCTCCTGTGCCCGTCTGTGAAAAGAGTAAGTGTAAACGAGGCAGTGGGTGGCAGCCGATTTCTTCTGAACCACTGTGTGAGTGCACCTGGCAGGGTGCAACTGCCTCACCTTGGAGGTAAAGGGGCCACTCTCCAGGACTGGAAAGGAAAAACATGCAAATACCTGTCCACCCATCTTCATAACACCCATTCAGACTGTTGTTACATAGGGCTTTCATCTCCTTAAATGAATCCACAAATGGAGAGAGAGCTAGGCTAGTGTCTGATCTTGTTCACAACCACAGAAAAGCCCGAGCAAGCTGTTACAGCCACAGATGGAAACTAACCACTGTAAATGCCTAAAGAGTGAGAAAAGATCATTCTTGATGTCAATAAGCTCAAAAAACATGAAGGCTGGAAGATAGGTGAGGGTAGGATGGAAACATAATTCATACATTGACATCCCTAGCTATTTGGGAAAAGTTAATGGAAAAGAAAGAAGTGAAAAGGCTGCCTTACCCTACAGTGGGTGTTTCTGGTACGTGCTCCTCACCACTTTTTTCCCCTCCTTGTAGTGCTACAGTGTCCTTCCCCTCCAAATATCAAAAATGGACAGCACGAGAGCAAGGATGTGAAAGTGTTCATCCCTGGAACATCAGTGAAGTACTACTGTGACCCGGGGTATGTCCTCACTGGGAAAACAACAGTTTTTTGTTTGAAATCCGGAACCTGGAGCATCCCTTACCCCCGGTGTGAAGGTGAGCTGGGAATGCTGTTACCCGTACTGAAAAGGGTCACACAGCCTTCCCTGAATTTTGACCTCACAAAAACAAAGGGAGAACCCCCAGCTCTGGCAGCCGCTTCCCCAGCCCAAGCTCGGCTGCTTTTCACTTCCAACGATCACCAGCACAAGCCCCCATGGTCCA